GAGTCTCAGTGTGCTTTTCTCTTTCCTTCTAGTTGTAGAATTTCCACTCAGCCAGCCTTCCTGTGGTTCTGGATGGTGTCCGTTTTGTCTTTTAGTTGTATTTTTGAAGTGGTTGTGCAAGGCAGCAATTTCAGGTGTTTACCTATGCCGCCATCTTGGTTTCTCCTGAGACAAAGACTTTTAATGAACTTGGAATTTTAGTTGAAGCATAGAAATTATAGAATACTGCCATAACCGACTTGGCTCAGTGGATAGAGCGTCGGCCTGCAGGCTCAAGGGTCCCAGGTTTGATTCCGGTCAAGGGCATGTACCTTGGTTGCGGGCACATCCCCAGTGGGGAGTGTGCAGGAGGCAGCTGATCTATGTTTCTCTCTCATCGATGTTTCTAGCTCTCTATCTCTCTCCCTTCCTCTCTGTAAAAAATCAATAAAATATATTTTTAAAAAAAGAAATTACAGAATACCCTTTTTTGACTTATATCTCTTAACTTCCTCTATTTTAGAATCCATGCTGCCTATATGGAAATGTTATAAAAAATCTAGGTATCTTTCTCTTCTTTTTTCCTCATCCTCTTTTTCCTTTTCTCTTCCTCTCTTCTTTGTTGTGGCAATATTTAATTATTTACTCTGTCTCAGGCACTAATAGGGATACAGGGCCAATAAGACAATGTGCTTGCTCTTTTTGCATTTGTATGTTTAATTTTTCTTCCCACCTTCATTTTTTGGTATGTACAATGATATCTTATCAAAATATGAACCCAGATGAAACATCTTAGAAACTGAAAGCATGCTTACAAATTAAGTATCCTGTAAATTACCTTTGAAAAAATGTATCATATTTCTATGGAAAAATTCACATATATTTTAAATTATTTCTTTTATAGGAAGAAATGCTCTTCACCTGGCTGCAAAGTATGGACATGCATTGTGCCTACAAAAACTTCTACAGGTAGTAAAAGTGGCTAATATTTTGGCTTTATTATTTTAATTGCAAATAATAGATGTATTTTTAATGTGTTTTTGGAATTTGAGATCAAAGAAAATAGTAGGCTAACTTTGACTATTAGCTTACATAATATTTTTCCATCATTTGTGAAAGAATGTGAACAATAAAGAGCAAAAACTCTGAGGGAAGTGAATTGCATAACTCAGTGTATTAAAAATACATAACAAAAGACATGGCCTTCCTGTTGACATTAGCTGGAGATTGGAATTTTCTGTTGTCTGGTATATGGCAATAAGATAAGGCGAGACAACATAGGATCTGTTTTTAACAAGCATCCATAACTTAAACTAAATAATATTAACCGCTAGTTAAACAGGTAATCAGGCAGCCAAAAAATTCTATGAGCTAGTGGGCTGAATTTTCAGTTAAAGGGTCCAGTCATACATTTTCATAAACATTTTCGCCACTAAGTTAAGCAGCAGAACTCATTTGTTTTTTCTGATTCAGTTCATGTTTTAACCCATGCTGGAAAAAAACATACAGAATCCAAACTATAACATAGTTTATATGTACCAGGCTATTGTAATGTACCATGTTTTTCTGTTCGGTGAAATATTGTTAAATTTACAGTATAACATTATTATGTTTGTTTCATGTCAAAACATTTAGAGACTTATCTAGAGTTTTGGTGTTTTTTTTTTTCATAAATGGAATATTTTAAGATTAACACCTGTTAATTGGAGTTCACATATTTAATTTTAAAATAAAATTAGTCTCTTTCAAAGACTAAGTTTTTGTATTTTAACAGTACAATTGTCCCACTGAACATGCAGACCTGCAAGGAAGAACCGCACTTCATGATGCTGGTAAGCAAAGATTGCACTTGGATAGAAAGAAATATTTGTTAAAATGGCTAGGCACTTATATTAATTTGAAAGTTTTAACATGCATATATTTGTATGGAGAAATAGAGTATTATAATTTTTTACTCAAATTTGAATATATATATTTTTAGATTATACAGCTTAGAAAGATTCATTCAGTCAATATTTACTGGTCAGTTTGCTAGGTGCTAAAAGTCCAAAGATGAATAAACCTGATCTCTCAGGGATCTCCAGTAGTGGGGGTGGGGAGCAGGGAGGAGAATGAGTTAGTTTGGGAATTGGCAGGAGAAATGGGAGGAAGATTTTTCTCTTTCTTGAAAACTACATTTAGCTAATTAACATGTCTGAACATTTTTCTCATCTTCAAAATAAAGTTAAGCCCAGCCAGTGTGGTTCAGTGGTTAAGCATTGAGCAGTGAACCCCGAGGGCACATGCTGGGGTTGTGGGCTCGATCCCCAATATGGGGTGTGTAGGACTCAGCTGATCATTGATTCTCTCTCATCATTGATGTTTCTGTCTATCTTTCCCTCTCCCTTCCTCTCTGAAATCAATTTTAAAATGTGAAGTTAATACTACTGCAGTAATTATGATTAAATCATAAATAGAGCCTGGCATGTAGTAATTTCTTAACTAAGGGTGGTGGTGATTATTTGGCTAGAGGTGTTAGTGCTGAATTTCATGTCACTGTAATATGCTATATTTTAAAAAAGATTTATACTAATCATTTTGCAGAGTTTATTACTCTTAGTTGTATATCTAAATTTATCTGTATTCTTTAGGTGTCTTAAAATACTTAGAAAAAAGTTGGATATAAAGTATTTTTGGAATGTAATGTTTGACCTGTCATTTGATTCTTCTAAACCTGATACTCCTACAGTTTATTAGAAGACCAAAAGAAAGAAAGAAAAAAATACTTACCTTTCTTCTCACATATATGGACTATCTGCAGTAGATTAAAGTGGTTTGCATTAAACATGCATTGTACTTCAACTTTCCTTTAAACTTTTATTCCTAAATTTTCTTTGAATTTTTTCTTTTTATATTTTTGTGCTTTTATAATAGTTTAATTTTTACACAATACATTTTTGTGTAGAATGGTATTATTTGCAAAGCATTTTTACATACATTATCACTTAAGCCTCGTAATGACCCCTGTGAGTTACTATAGATTTTATTTTTGTTAATCCTCACCAGAGGATATGTTTTTCCATTGCTGTTTTAGAGACAGTGGAGGGGAGGTAGGGAGGGAGGGAGGGAGAGAGAGAGAAAGAGAGAGAGAGAGCAGAAACATTGATGTGAGAGAGACATACTCATTGGTTGCCTCCTACACGTGCCCTGACCAGGGCCAGGATTGAACCTGCAACCCAGGTACGTGCCCTTGATGAAGAATTCAACCGGAAACCCTTCAGTACATGGATTGATGCTCTAACCCCTGAACCACACCAGTCAGGACACTACATAGATTTTATTTTTTGCTGATAATTTTGTATTGCTACTTAAATAAAAACGGAAGCTTAGATTCACAAGTGATGTGCTATCAAGCTTTTATGGAATCATCAAGACAAATTCACATATTAAATTTAAAATAATTTTTAAAAATTTATATTTGTAATGCTAATTTGCTATGCTTGATGGAATTTAAAAAATTATTTTGCTGCTTTCTAAAATATGAATATGACACATGATATTTCTGTTCTCTTACTACCTTTTCCTAGTTTTTAAAAAATTAATCCAACATTATTGATAATCACTTTTTAAAAATTATATTAACTATTTATTGTGGAAAATTTCCAACATACATAAAGTTAGAATATTATATTAAAACTCCTATACTCTTTTTGTTGTTGTTTTTTTTGTTAATCCTCACCTGAGGATATTTTTTCTATTGATTTTTAGAGAGTGGAAGGGTTGGGGAGGGACAGAGAGAAACATCTATATGAGAGACACACATCAATTGGTTACCTCCCACACACACACTGACCAGGGCTGGGGATCAAGCCTGCAACCGGGGTACATGCCCCTGAACAGAATCAAACCTGAGACCCCTCAGTCCATAGGGCTAATGCTCTAACCACTGAGCACTGACCAGGGCAAACAGCTATACTCTTTACTCAGCTTAGACAGTTATTAATATACTAGAGGCCTGGTGCACAAAAATTTGTGCATTCAGGGGGGTCCCTCAAACTGGCCTGTGCCCTCTCGCAGTCTTGGACCCCTTGGGGGATGACCACCTGCTGGTTTAGGCCTGCTTCCTGGGGAATTGGACCTAAGCTGTGCAGTCAGACATCCCTCTGGCAGCCTGGGAGCCCTCGGGGGATGTCCACTTGCCAGTGGGGAGCAGGCCGAAGCTGCAGTTGGACATCCTTAGTGCTGCTGAGGAGGCAGGAGAGTCTCCTGCCACCACCGCTGTGCTGGCAGCCATCAGCCTGGCTTGTGGCTGAGCAGAGCTCCCCCTGTTGGAGTGCACTGACCACCAGGGGGCAGCTCTTGCATTGAGCGTCTGCCCCCTGATGGTCAGTGTGTGTCATAGTGACTTGTCATTCCCAGTCGTTCTGCTGTTAGAGTCCTTTTGCATATTACTCTTTTATTATATAGGATAGAGGCCCGGTGCACGGGTGGGAGCCGGCTGGTTTGCCCTGAAGGGTGTCCTGGATCAGGGTGGGGGTCCTGCTGGGGTGCCTGGGTAAGGGGCTGATGGCAGTTTGCGGGCTGGTCAAGCCCCCCCCCCCCAGTGGGGACCCTTACCCCATAGAGGTTTGGCCAGCCTAGGTGAGCGGCTGATGGCTGTTTACAGGCTGGTCAAGCCCCCGTTAGGATGAGGTTCTCCACTGGGGTGCCTGGCCAGTCTGTGTGAGGGGCTGAGGGCCATTTTCAGGCTGTCCAAGCCCCCCGGCGACAGAAGCTCCCAGCTTCTCCTTTTTTTCTTTTTTTATTCTGGGATTTATTTGCCTTCTATAGTTGAAACTTTGTTGCCTTCAGTGGAGCTCAGAGCCGGCCAGGAAGCTTGGCTTCCTCCATCACTATAGCAACCAAGCCTCCTGCTTGCTTCAGCTCCGTGGCTGCCGGCTGCCATCTTGGTTGGGTCAAATTGCAAATAGTCGCTCTGATTGGCTGGTGGGCATGGCTTAAGGCGTAGTGAAGGTGCAGTCAATTTTCATGTTTGTCTTTTATTAGATTAGAGGCCTGGTGCCCGAATTCATGCACCAGTGGGGTCCCTCAGCCTGGCCTGCAGGATTGGGCCAAAACTGGCTCTCCAACATCCCCCGAGGGGTCCCAGATTGCAAGAGGGCACAGGCCAGGCTGAGGGACACCACTGGTGCACAATCAGGGCCAGGGAGAGATGCGGGAGGTTGGCTAGCTGGGGAGGAACAGCGGGAGGGCTCCAGGGCATGTCCGGCACATCTCGCTCAGTCCCAATTGGCCAGACCTCAGCAGCAAGCTAACGTGATCAGAGTGTCTTCCCCTTGGTGGTCAGTACACATCATAGCGAGCAGTTGAGTGGCCTTAGCATATCATTAGAATATGATGTTTTGATTGGTTGAATACCAGACTGGTCGACCTGACACTTAGCATATTAGGCTTTTACTATATAGGACTAGAAGCCCGGTGCACAAACATTTGTGCACTCAGTGGGGAGAGGGGTTCCCTCAGCCCGGCCTGTGCCCTCTCACAGTCTGGAACCCCTCTGGACATAATGACCTGCTGGCTTAGGGCTCCTCCCGGGTGGCAGAGGGCAGGCCCAATCCCTAGGTGCAGCCCCTTGTCGGGCTCAGAGCAGGGCCGATTGGGGAGTTGGGGTGCCGCCCCCTGTCATGCACAGAGCAGGGCGATCGGGAGGTTGTGATGCCACCCTCAGTTACGCTCAGGGTAGGGCCGATTGGGGGGTTGGGGCACCGTCCCCTGTCACACTCAAGGCAGGGTCGATGGGGAGGTTGTGGTGCCACTCCCTGTCACACACAGAGCAGGGCCAATAAGGGGATTGGGGCTCCTTACCCCTTTTACTCACAGAGCAGGGCCCATCAGGGGGTTTGGGGCTCTGTACCCTGTCACGCACAGAGCAGGGCCAATCAGGGGGTTGGGGCACTGCCCCCTGTCACGCACAGAGCAGGGCCCA